TCTCGGTACAACAAGTATCAAGGCACGTGCCTTCCTAGCATACACCCCTGCCATGCTGAGTTGGCGCGCAGGATCCCTCTGACCGTTTCTCTCCGACTTTCTTTGCTCTGGTCACCGGCGTGATGGCACTGGCGACGAATGCATACAGGGATGTTGTTCAATGTGGCAAGATCATCACTGAGAGCGGTTTGGACTGGACAGTGGCGCGGGTTCCAGTACTGAATGACCAAGATGATATCGAGGTACGCGCGACCGGATTTCCTGGTCAAACTAGTTTGACCAATACAACTAGTACATAGCGGGTTATGTCGGGGACGGACATACAAAGCCCGTGCTCACCAGAAAGGCGTTTGCGAAGTTCTGCCTGGACGAACTGGAGGCGAAAGTCTGGGTCCAAAAGCTGCCTTTGGTTACATCTCCACGCATCTGGCCTAGGCATTAATGCGTTCCACGTCCTATATGTACAATATCATCCTGAAGGTATCTTGATCGTCAGATATCGGCGGAGAAGACATATTGTGCCTGAAATCACGCCAACGGGGGGCAGTAGCCAGTTGACTTTCCAAAACCAACCCGCCTCGGCGTCCAGCTGGCGTGCGAGTCGCACGACCTGAACCTTGGCATGCTCGCGATTGCCGGAGTTATCAAGCAGATCATCTGCATAATCTGCTTTTCGACTAATCGACATCTGTGACTTGATGCGGGCGAGAGCCTCTTTTTCCGTATAGCCGTCACGGCTCATGAGCCGCTGTATCTGCACTTCTGGCGGACTGTCCAAAGTGTGAGATAAGCCGCTGTGGGACTTGCACTACTGGGCGCACCAATAGACAACCACAACCTTCCCGCAGTAGCGCCAAAGACCGCCTTCGACGAGGAGCGGAACATCCAGAATGCAGACGCGTTCGCCGTGCAGCCAATGCTTGATAATCTGCCAAAGCATTATGCGTCGTATGCGCGGGTGCATGATGCGCTCCAATTTGCGTCTGTTCTTCTCGTCTGAGAAAACGATTTGATTGAGGGCCTTGCGGTCCAAAGTGCCATCGGGTAGGATGACGTGTGAACCGAATGTCTTCACAATGTGCCTGAGCGCAGGTTGGCCTGGTTCAACGACCTGACGCGCAACAAGGTCGGCATCCACGACGGGGAAGCCTAGCGATTTCAGCTGGCCCGATACGGTGGACTTTCCTGTCGAGATGCTGCCGGTTAAACCAACCACTGCCGAAAGCCATAAACATCAACGCTGGCCCGATACTAGTTCCCATATTTGCAAACCTAGCATGTTCGACGCGCACGAGACACCGTAACGGGAGGCGGGTAGTAAAAGCGAGGCGCAGAAATGCGACTCGAGGAGGAAGGCATGGACATGGCCGTCGAACTCCGCAATTATATAAGTAGCAGAAGATACAATTCTAGATATTAGTTTAGACGCATAAAGTGATCGGTTTGGAAGGTATATATTATTTGCGAGGCCGATTAAGTAGTGTCTCGTTCTGTCTATAGATAATACACACTGAACATTAGAGATCATCTCCTAACTTGATCATGTCCTTCTTGAGCGCGATTTGATTGCGTAGCAAGTTGATGCGGGATTCAACACGACCGCCCATCTCAGTCTCACGGCTGGCGAATGTCATCGCTGTGTCGAGACTCGCTTCAGCTTTTGCAATCCCAATAGCAGGGCTCCAATCCTCGCCGTCGCGCGAACGACGCTTGCTGATCTGGAGCAATGAGAGGACGGCCATCTCAACATTAGCAACCAGGGCTGCCCACTTGCAGTCAATCTCCTTGCCACGGTTCGCAGCCTCCTGCAGGTGAACTGTTGCGTCCGCATAGTTACCTGCAACGCTGTGCAGTACGCCAAGGAGAGTAGATCTAGATGCAAACTCCTCTGGGTGTAGCAGGTCCGGATCCTCTTGGGTCTGAATGTTGTTTGCCAGCGGTGGAGGCGTCAACTTGGTCCATTCCGCGATCAACGACTCGGCACTCTGACGGTCGAGCCTATAATGGGCGTTCAAGAACAGGCCAAGTTCTGCACCATGAGAGAGAGAGAGAGAGAGAGAGAGAGAGAGAGAGAGAGAGGCGTTATCAGAGAAAGAGGCTGTACATATGACTTATGTCACACTCACGATGTGCTGGATTGATAGAGATTTCGTCAATCCAAGACTGCCGTTTGGCACTCTCAGCGCGCATCTTGACTTTTGCGTTGTAGATTCCAACTAAAATTGGGTATCAGCAGTAGCACCTACCAGCTCTCGTAGCACCTACGCTGCCTCCGGATGAATGTTTCCATTGGGAATTCGCGCTGTCCCTTCTTCGCCTCAAGCAGAACTGGTATTTCTTCAAGAAGCGGCCTCGCCCTCTCACGATCACCGGCAGAAATGAAACATCCTAAAACGGATGTGTGATTGGTGAGCATCGTGTCATACCGCCTCCAGTGTATGGCTAACCTCCCGCCAGAGCGTTGTAAACAGCCGGGCTCCTGGATTATATTATTGGCAGTGAATACCAGCGGTTAATGAGCACGCACCATTTATTCATGCCCTTCAGTGAAACAAACTCCTCTGCTGCTTCCCGATATTGACCGTGAGCAAGAAGGACCCATGCGAGATCGTAGTGTAGCTGACAACGGGTCAGCAACGTAACACATGATGCAAGGGATGATCTCGAACCATGATGTTTGCTTGTCTAAAGGTCTTTCCTGTTTCTGGCTGAATCGCAGCACGCAGACACGCGATGGACTCATCCACCTGGGCAGTAGTGATCAGTTTGGGTGAATTGACACAAAGGCTGCAATGAGCGCAGCTCACCTTGCCATTAAGACGCATGATCTTAGCCTGCGCAAACGTCCATCAGCCATTTGGGGGGGGGATTGGGGGCAATCGGATATCGACTTACTCTGTGTAGACTCCACAACGAACCACCGGGATACTTGTCCCAGCATCTGAGGGCATAAATATCGGGTGGAATCACCCAAATTGCCACGTACAAAGAAACCATCTTGGTGTACTGCTCGGTCACTCGCTCTTCATCTGCGAGCCATCCACATATCTGCAGTTGCAGACCTATAGCAAGATGAGACCGGCATCCGCAAGTAGTGAAAGTTACTTGCCATAATATGACATTAACGTCAATCGTGCAAAGCTGGCGTGGACATCCTGTCGGGATGCAGACTCGGACAACGCCTGAAGAGCCTGGGCTAAATCCGCGCTGAAACCAAACCAACCCACTACGGACCTGTTATGACGATGAGATGAAGAGTAAAAAGATGTGTGGGCGCCTCACTTGACGCGTGCAGGGAGCAGAGAAAACACAAGATTAAAGAGACCATAGCCTGTCGCCAATAAACGAGCTGTTGAAGCGGTCAAACACCGAGACTCACCATATGCAGTCCCAGAGACAATGAATTCTTCGAGTTGCGGCTCAAAGTTCAGGTTCGCAAGGTTGTCGGTTGAAGTATTTGGAGTCAGCCAGCGGGAGAAGAGTCCCTTGCGAGCTGAGCTGGGGGCAATTGTGGCGTTCACGTCGGTCGTCGAGGACGGCGCTGACCGTGCCTTGGGCACACTGCTCGAGTAGTGGCTTAACCCATCCGGAAAGACGGTCTTGAAAAGCCTGAGGCGTCGTAAGCAACCTCAAATTTGATCACGGCGTAATCAAAGCTGCTTACTTTGTGAACTGTGAGTGAGCTCTAAATATACGAGTTAGTTGTAATAACAAGCGACATTCACAAGCAGCTAACTTGTTCAGAGAGTACATGCATTGCATATACCCCATGTACGTCTCTCCAATTGCTTGGGAGAGCCCCGTCAGGACGGCGGCATCGGCGCGCACGACATCCCACTCGAGTCCCGCCCCATAACGAGAGCTCTGTTGCCCTTTCGCACTCAATACTTGCGCTTTGACCGAGACGTCCACCTCGGAGAGCGCCTGAGTAGCCGCCGCGAGCAAGTCGGACTGGCAGGCAACAATTGAGCCGTTCTATTCCAAATCGCAATCTAGAGTGGGCTGACCTCCGCTCCCAACGCGGCCTGAAGGAAGAGGCAGACCGCGGTGCCCATATGGTGAAATGGGGAGTGCTGCTGAGAGACTAATGCTGGCGTCAGCAGGCTAGCGACACGGCCGCCGAATGACGCTGAGCGGTGGCACGTACAGAGTGCTTTGGCCCCATCCAAGTCATTGGACCACAGCAAGTCGAACCCTGCTTGAGCTTTGTTGAGGTCTGCAACGGCGCTGCTCATCGAAACGAGACAATAATGAAGATGAAGGAGGAAGAGTGTCACCGTGCCGCAACAGCCGCGTGACGGTCGGACGCCGTCACGGCGCGACTGCTTCATGCGGTTAGGGGCAAATGCAGGACAACCCACGCACGACCCACTCTGAAACCTGTGACAAGTGGTTGGGTAGGATTCAAGGTGACTAATTAGGGTGTGCATGTTGCGAACCCGTCTCGTATATGTACTATGACTACCATAGGTGAAGCTGAGTCAGTGCTGATCACGCACGCACGGCCTCACCCTGTATGCAACGGCGCAGAGCTTTTAGCTATTGTTCGAGTTCTTGTGTCATCTGGATGTGACTAAGGGCATATTTATAATCCAAGAATTGCTTTCCAACTCGTCCAAGACGAAGGCGGCGAACACCTTCCGAGTCAGGACAATCGGTGGGCTCCCATCAACATAGCCCGCGATATACTGCATATGGTGAGGATAAAGCACTAAAAATTTGGGATCTCACTTACCTCGTTGCTCATTCCGTTTGTCGAACCAGCTATTCAAGGAAGAACATTGTAGACACGAACTTCATTCTACAGCTTGCACTTGTAAGAGGACTGATAAAATGCATCAAGCAGGGTTTCATCATTATGAAATTTGTGAGCAAAAAGAGCACAAGTTACCCGTGGTGGAGATTGCGAGGTTGGCTCCGGATCCTAGAAGTTTAGAGGTTCTATGGTGAACCCAATGGACTCGCTATTGACTATTGCACAGCCAGACCGAAGTTACCAAGGCACTATGGCCGAGTGGTTAAGGCGATTGACTAGAATTTGTACTGTTCTGAGCAGTATAACGCTATATCAATTGGGCTCTGCCCGCACAGGTTCAAGTCCTGTTGGTGTCGAAGCTTTTGGGGAACAAGCAACTCGTCCAGCCTTTTGCACATTTTTGTTGCCAAGTTCCCGCGACCCAGCTTATCCTCACATGATATCTTGTGCGAAGCGTTTATATGCGCAGGAAAACTGTGAGAGGATGCGTGTCGATTAATTTTCAACATTACTGTACTGTACAATGCTTGAGAACAAGAGATCATGAAGACTTTGGATCGGAATCCTTCTTCTCTGCCTCGTCCGCCTTCTTCCCCTTCTCCTTGTCGGCTTCAGACACAGCTTTGCCTTCAGGCTTCGAGGAAGCTTCTTGCTTGCCCTCCTCCAGCTCAGCGTTGCCGTTGGCCGCCTTGTTGTCGACCAACGCGTGCAGCGCAATAACCGCCCTTGCGAGACTGCTGAGATAAACAACCAGCAGTTGGTCGTTGGTGTTTTGAATGAAGGCGCCAGTACTCTGTGGGTCGGCAAGGTCGGGCAGAAGGTTGAGGGCGTCCTGAAGCTGGTACACGATCTGGTGATTCACGGGATACTTGCCCGAGGCGACGGCTTGCAGATAGTCGCGTATTTCTAAAATGCGAGATTGCAATCCGCGTAAAGAAGCAAACTGTTCGGCGACGCGAGTCGAGAGTGTGGTGGTCGTAGAGTCCTTGATGTCGCGTAGGAGGTGCTCGACACCAATCTCTTCTGCCTCCTCGGCCTCAATCGCGGAGGGAACGTGAAAGAACGTCTTCCGGGTTTCTGTGCCATCCTAATAAGTGAGAAATTAGCGCAAGCTGCAAGACGCGTGCCACAATAGCTGGCTGGAGACTCACATCCTTGATCTCCTCGACAGCAAAGTACGCGTCTGTGGGAATGCCAACAGCTTGCTGCCGAACATCGACAATGACCATCACTGGGCGGGCAATAAAGCGTTTGAAGAGTTCATTGATCTCCTGGTCCGATGCACGCAGTTTGGGCCCCGAGTGGTACCAGCCGATCATGCGTTCACGCGCTGGAAATCACTGAGTTGGAGAGCTGTGGCGCGACGGGGAAGGACGAACCATTAACTTTCTTGAACATCTCCCACATGCCCTCGATGTAGTTGTGGTCAAGGAACCAGGTCTTCTTGTCTTTGTCGTCTTCCTCGAATGGGATCGCGAACGAGTTAGCGACGTTGACGGTTTTGCCATTGTCCTGGCCGAGCAAGACGCCGACGACGCGTTTGTGCGGTGACCGTGCTGCTGCGCGTGCGTGGTGGTCCGCTACGGAGAGCAGCACAAGAGGGTGGACGACTGAAACGCGCGTCATGAGTAGGGTACGCGTGCATATACTTCTGCGGAGTACGCACTGACGGTTGTGTTGGCGAGAGCCGTCAGCTAAGGATACTATCAGATCGGCACTCGCGTGTGAAATTGTAATCGGAACGTGCCTGTTCGGTCGAGGTGGCTACCATTGCGGGCAGGAGGGCAAGAGGATGGCGAGCGGAGTTGTACGCGACGCGCGTCTTGTCCTCATGTCCTCCACATCCGTCTCCACATCGTCCGCCCAGCTACTCGCAGACGCGAATGCGGCTGTTGGGTCGGACCCACGTAAGGCAGAGAAGCTGTTTCAGCAGGTGCTCGCCTCCGAGCCAGCAGGTACTTAACCACTGTCTGTTTGGGTCCATGGCGTGAACTGACGCGTAGCAGAACGCGACCAAGCGGAAGCGAACCTCAAGGATCGTGAGGCAGCACTCACAAGATTAGCGGAACTGTATCGTGACGAGAAGCACGTTAATCTACCCGGATGAACGGTCGATGTGAGACTGACTTTACCTCTTTATAGGAATGCGAAAGCGTTGGCAGAAGTTGTGCGCAAATCGCGCTCGTTCCTGTCATCTACAGCGAAAGCAAAGACCGCTCGACTCAGTGAGTCGATCGTCTCACTCATGGTTGTCCACTAACGAACGCACGTCGGGCTAGTCCGCTCACTGCTTGACATGTTCTCGTCCATCCCGGACAGCAAGCAGATGCTCACCGATGTCATCCTTGAAAATATAGAATGGGCAAAACAGGAGAAACGCATATTCCTCAAGCAGAGTCTCGAAACCCGCCTCGTCGCCCTCTACCTCGACAGCAACTCCTTCAAGCCCGCTCTTGCTCTCGTAGACAGCCTCCTCTCAGAACTCAAGCGTCTCGACGACAAGTTGATTCTTACCGAAGTTCACCTTCTTGAATCACGCATCTACCGCGGCCTCGGCAATATGCCAAAGGCCAAGGCTGCGCTCACCTCTGCCCGTACCGCCGCAAACGCCATCTACTGCCCACCTCACCTCCAGGCCGCACTTGATCTCCAGTCTGGAATTCTTCACGCGGAAGACAAGGACTACAAGACTGCCTACTCGTATTTCTTTGAGACGTTTGAGAACTTGAGCCAACAGGACGATCCTAAGGCACTCAACAGTCTCAAGTATATGCTCCTCTGCAAGATCATGCTCAACTTGCCTGAGGATGTCACGTCGCTACTCTCCATCAAACTTGCGCTGCGATATGCACAGCTCAAGGAAGTTGAGAGCATGCGCGCTGTTGCGCGCGCCCACCAAAATCGCAACTTGGCCGAGTTTGAAAAGGCATTGCGCGACTACCGCGAGGAACTGTCGTCCGACCCAACCATTCGCTCCCATCTAGCTGCGTTATACGACACCTTGCTGGAGCAAAATTTGCTCCGCATTGTCGAGCCGTACTCGGTGGTTGAGATTGACCATGTGGCCAAGACTGTCGGACAGGAGCGGCAGCAGATCGAGGCCAAGTTGTCCCAGATGATCCTCGACAAGGTATTCAACGGCGTGCTTGACCAAGGCAGAGGATGTTTGATCATCTTTGATCAACAAGAGGATGACGTGAGTGATATATCCTGACTTGCTCGCCGTTTGGAGAGCTAAAACTATCATGTAGGTCGCTTACGAGAGCGCGATTCATATGCTGGAGCAGGTTGGCAAGGTTGTGGACTCATTATACGCCAAGGCAACCAAGCTTGCATAGTTCTGTATAGTAGACGAAAGACGAGATTAAGCACGAGCAGAGCGGGTGCCGTTGAAATGAAGTGCAGTGCGCTGTGTATGACGTCCACACGAGTGGATCCGCGTCCTGCCGCGCGTACTCTGAATCGTACACTCTTCTGCGTCACCTCTTGTGTCTGCGTCGGCTACACGATGTTGAGACACAAACTTGGCGCGCTGCCACTGCGCGTACCTTTGGCTGCGTGGCCCTCGCATGCGATCATGCACCAACTTGTGCGACCGCGCGTTACGTTCGCGCTGCAGCGACCCGCAGCCCGATTCCTCATGACAGGTCCCGCGACCGAGCCAATCAAGCCGCGCCCTAGCACTGCTCGGCGTGCGCTCACTGTGGCCAAATATTGCGGCTTCATTATCGCGTCAACTGTCGTTGGGCTTGGTGTCGTGACCGGCGCGATATTTGTTCACGACGCGATGACCTACAACACGCGGCACGTGCATGTTCAGTCGGTCTCGCTGCGTGCTTACCTTGCGTAGGCACCTTGACCGCGTGCCCGTCTCACCTCTCGCGCTCAAACACGATATTGGTGGACCCAAGAACTTGCCAATTGCTCGCGTTCTTGTGGACGATGAAGTTCGCGCCCCTGAGTCTTGCCGGCGCGCTTTTGTTGACAACTGTCCTTCTAGGACAGTGAAGAGAACCAACTTCTTGCCAAAAAACCTAGACTTGTTATCATCGGAAGCGGTTGGGGCGTACGTTGTCGAGTGCAACTCTTTGAACCTCGGTTTACCTTGTGCAACAGGCAATGTCCCTTCTTAAGACGCTGCGACCGGACGACTATCACGTTACTCTCATCTCACCCACTACTACCATGGTTTTCACTCCCCTTCTTCCTTGTGGGTGCTCAGTGTTGTGTTGTTGTCTTTGTGGCAGTTACTTACTTGGTCCTTGGCAGCGGCTGCCGTCGGAACGGTGTCACTGCGGGCTCTCATGGAGTCAGTCCGCAAACTTATCGCTCGTGTACATGGCCATTATATCATGGGAACGGCCGTCGATGTTGCCTTCAACGAACGCTTGGTTGAGATCCAAACTGCCGGTCCAAACGGTAAACCTCGGAACCTCTATGTCCCGTCAGTGTTGTTCAAATGCTCACATTAACGCCGATTTGACTTCTGAGCTTTGTTGGCTACAGGTATGACAAGCTCGTTATTGCTTGCGGCTCGGTCTCCGCTAGTCATGGCGTCCCTGGCATAGAGCATTGCTTCCAACTCAAGACGATTGAAGACGCTCGCACAATCCGAAGACGCATTTTGAGTGCGAATGACATCCCTGTTTTTGCTTTTGGACCCTTAATGTTTTTTTTATATAGCAAACTTCGAAGCGGCCAGTTTGCCGTCCACGACTCCCGAGGAGCGCAAGCAGTTGCTGAGCTTCGTGGTGTGCGGTGGCGGGTGGGCAGATTCTCTTCAGAATTTTGTACTGGCCCGCTTACGGATGACTTCAGGCCTACCGGTGTCGAGACAGCTGCAGTATGTCCACATATTGGCTTCCTATGCAGTTTTATTAACGAGCCTCTAGGAAATCTATGATCTTTGCCAGGAAGACATCATCAACTACGTCTGTGCACAACTGTCGCTATTTCTTGTCTCTGTTGATCAAGCATCATCTAGTTTCCGAAACTGGTCCGCGAGGAGGTCTCCATCTATCTCATTCAATCCAGAGATCATATCTTGAACACGGTACGCAGGCCTTGTCGTCTCGAGCTTGGCTGATACTTCAGAACAGTACTCGGAGGCAATCAGCAAGTACGCAGAGGTGAGATCCCTCGTAGCTACATTCCACGACCCTTTCTTATCTTCTCACACAGAAAAAGTTTGGCAAGGACGAGGTCAACGTCATTGTCAATGCTCGGTGAGATCTTGAGGCAAGGATAGGCCTATAATCGGCTCATTGTTCCGTCGCCTCGCTCCCAGCGTCCAGGGTATTCATGAAGACCATGTCACATACACTACCAAGGACCCCGCAAGTGGCCGTACGATTGA